TGAGTGATGTAGGAGGGCCCAGCCCACTGTGGTGGTGCCACCCCTGGGCAGGTGGGCCTGTGTTGCATAAGAAAGCAGGTTGAGTAGGGGCCACAGGAGCAAGCCAGTAAGCAGTGTTCTTCCATGGCCTATGCTCCAGCTCCTGCTTCCAGGTTCCTGCCCTGAGTTCCTACCTTGGGCTCCATGATGAACTGTGACCTTGGAAATGTAAGACAAATAAACCCTTTCCTCCCCAAGTTGGTAGTGGTCAGTGTTTTGTCACAGCAATGGAGAAACAAACTAGGACAATAATGTAATAATTAGTAGCCTTTAGCCTAAACAATAAGAAAGGCTTTTTATTCCTTGGCATAATTCAAGTAATATGAAAAATATTTGCTTTCATTACTAATCACTACAAACAAGATTGGTTTAAGGAACATGAAAAGTAACTTTTTCCCCCAAAATATCTTGTTTTAATTATAAAAACTTCAAACTATACTAGTTATACATTTTAATAGGTTTATTCATTTATTCATATTAACTGAATAATGAATGACAGTAATCATAGGAGAGACTTTTACACATCTCTCCAAGGATCAATAAAAGATGAAAAAGTTGTTATACATGGATCCATCACAAAATGGCAAGTCAGCACTTCAGGAGACAAAATAATAAAATGGAAGAGAGTCATTCAAGTTTCAGATGTCATTTAATAAATAATTTGAAAGAAGTAAAAAAATGCATGATCCCCCAATGATTCATATCTTGAGAGTGGTTCATAGTTCTTTATTCATACCAATCATTGTGTGCGAGAAAATAAAAAGAATTACACATGCAGACAACTTTTATGCAATCCACATTTCAATTGAAGACAGTAAATGCACTTAAATAATACTACTACAAATATTTCTACTATAAGATTAAATTACCTTTAAAAACATAAAGTCTACTTTCTTCAATAGAATTTCAAATATCATTTGATGAGGTAGAGTTTGGAAAACATTGTTATTAAGTGTATTGTGATCTTTAATTTTCCAACTTTAGAGTTCATAGTTTTTAATTTGGGAGACATTTATATAATAATTGTCCTACATAATATTTGAAAATAGTTAAGCTAGTGCACATGAGTATATCATGAAGTACTTTACTGTGTTTTAAGAAAATCTGAACTGGAACATTTCTTTTTAAATGTATTATTTTATACCTATTGAGTATAAAAAGTACCTTTAGAGTTTCTTCAATCATCTTAATTATATTTTCCTTTGTTCCAGCTAGTTTTTCATAGTATGATACATGTATGATTAAAATGTAAGATGGTAGACTGTTTTTTAAAACTTACTGACTTTGCTTATTGTATTCAATACATAACCCCTAAAACAGTATCATTTTCATTCCTTCTATGCCTTCTATATGTTACTTGTATTATTAATCTTATTTACACTTTTATTCTTCCTTCACCCTGAGGTAAACCTTTGTCTCCTAAATTATATTTATATCTCTTAAATTTGAGTACAAGTTGTTGTCAAAAGAAATATATTCCCCTAATTATGCTAGCAACAGAGATCTAAGAGACCCAATAGAATCATAAACTTAAAAATAAATAAATAAATAAATAAATAAATAGGTTCTTTGCAGCATGCTCTCTTAAAAATGGCCTATTTTTGCAATCTTACATGTTGTAAACTTTTCATAATAGGTCATTCTAAAGCAGGAAAAGTTTATTTTCACATTTGTGATTGTGCTTTAGAGCATCTAAAAGTATGTTAACTTGCAGTTTTTAAATTCCCTAAACACTTACCGTACTGCTGAGTAGGAATAGGTTGATGAAGGAACAGGTAAACGGCTTCTGCCTTCCAGAAGCTCACTCTCAAGTTGAAGAGATCAACTTCAAAGACATAATTATTACACAGTGCAATAAATGCTGTAAGTTATATGAGAGCTCAAGGAAGATAAGTATTGAAATCTTAAAGTTGTTGTAAGAAGTCTATATAAAAGAGGAGGAGTATACTCAGAGATATTTAGTGGGCCTTTAATCCCAGCACTTGAGAGGCAGGGGCAGGTGGATCTCTGTGAGATCGAGGCCAGCCTAGTCTACATTGGAGTTCCAGGACAGCTATGGATACAGGAAGACCCTGTCTCAAAAAGACCAAGAGAAAAAGGAACTGATCATCCTGGACACAGGATGTGACATATATAAAGACACAGTGTTGTGACTTAACAGTTTATTTCATCATCATTCTCATCAGCACTACCACCACCATAATCCAAGCAGTAACCTTGAACTGGCTGCACTGTCTTCTTACAGATGTGTTACATGATGTGACTGGAGTTTGAAAACTACACTGAGACTCGTGAGCATTTGAGGGTAGCACTTGTGTTGGTACTACATTATGATTTGGATATAAATGCCATTCCAAAATGTTAGTGGCTGAGGGGGCACTGGAAACTAGTTCTGTGAGAGTTACACTCAAGCACAGAATTTACATGTCAAGTACAATTTATTGTAAAACACCAAATTTCTATTAAAGTGTTTTTAATGGGGACTGGAGAGATGGCTCAGAGGTTAAGAACACTGGTTGTTCTTGATGAAGACCTTAGTTCAAATCCCAGCACCCACATGGCAGCTAACAACTGTCCGTAACTCCAGTTCCAGGGGATCCGACGGCCTCTTCTGTCCTCTGTGAGTACTGCACAACATGGATGCACCTACCTACATGCAGGCAGTACATGCATACACATAAAATAAAAATAATAAAGTAAAAAAAAAAAAAACACTTGAAAATTAAAAAAAAATTTATTTATTATTTTTATGTGTATGCGTGTAATGCCTGCATGTTGGTAAGTGCATCCATGTCATGCAGTACTCACAGAGGCTAGGAGAGGCCTTCGGATCCCCTGGAACTGGAGTTACGGACAGTCGTTAGCTGCCATGTGGGTGCTGGGATTCGAACCTGGGCCTCCTGCAGGAACAACCAGTGTTCTTAACCACTGTGCTGTCTCTCCAGCCCCTAAAAAATGTTTTTAATGATAAAGATTCCATATATTTTTTGATTTCCTGGATATCTCCATTTTGTCTTAAATATTGTTGTAAATATTATATTCTGTTCCATATTGTAGCTATATTTTTTAAATATGTTTTAATTGAATTTTTGTGTATTTCATACAACTTAATCATATTTAGTTCCCCCTTCCCTATCTGTACCCCACCCTTAAGCCACTCACAGGATTTTATGCATTATTTTTAAATATTTTTTTTAGAAGAAGCATTTCATTACAGCTTTAACATACTCAATAACAGTTTCCAGAGCAAAGATACATCTCATTCATTTTATGCATTTTTGTCATATATGTTAAGGCCTTTTGAGTCACATTTGTGTATCCTGATGTCCCTCAGTGTGAGTTCATCCACTGGAACCTGTCTGGTATCACTCTCTTAAAAAAGATCAGCTCTCCTTCACCCAGTAGTTATCAGCTGCCAGTATTTCCTCACCAAAGTTCTGGCCTCCTGCCCTTTTTCCCAGTACTATGCTGACTTTTTTTGGGGGGGAGGGGCAGTTCTTATTGAATTTGCATGGGTCTTGTGCATGCTATCACCGTTAATTTAAGTTCATATGAACAACTTCCCAGGAGCCTGTCAGACTCTGTTTTCTTACAGCTCTTACAATCTTTTCTGTCCTCTCTTTTGCAATAGTCCCTGAACCCTGGTGGGGGGGGGTAGTTTAATATAGGAGCCCTGTCCAGGGACCCCTGCTCTGCAATCTCTTTTTCTCTACACCTTGGGCAGTTTATAGCACTTGAGAGGCAGGGGCAGGTGGATCTCTCTGAGTTCCAGGCCAGCTGGGGCTACAGGGAGACCCTGTCTCAAAAAGACCAAAAAAAATTCTGGTTTTTAAAAATTCCGGGTTTTTTTTGTTTATGTGTATGAACACAGGTCAACAAGTACACATGTGCCAGCATGCACACATGGAGTTTAGAGGACAACCTTGGATGTTTATCCTTACCTGCCACCTTGTTTGAGACAAGATGTTGTGTTTTGGGAGGTTTTGCTTTTTTAGATCTTTCCATTGCATATGTCAGGCTACTGGTCCTTGAACAACTGGGGATTCTCTGAGCGCGGTCTCCTAGTAGGAGTACTAGGTTACAAACACACTACTGTGTCTGGCTTTACATTAGTTTTGAGGATTCAAATTCAGATACTCACACTTATGAAATAAATGCTTTACTCACTGAACCATCTCTCTGGCATTCTAATGTTAACTCGGAATGAATGAAAATTGTATTTGACATATGATATTAAAGTAATGATAATGGTGTTATAATACAAAATTCCCTAATTTCTTCTGACAGTGTTATTTCCCATATCAAAATAGCCATTTCTATATTGACATTACCACAGCATTTTAATGCATTTGTAATTATCTTCAGAATTTTTATTTTAAACTGTCTTAATTATAGTTTTTGATGTTAAATAATATTTTCTTTAATCATAAGTGCTATATAAGATTAGGTAATTAACTTTGAAAGAACTGCTTTTTGCAAAGTTATACATTGCTTCCACTTCCCTGCTGTAAATCCTTTTTGCTTCTTGTAGCCACCCACAAATTTGTGCCAAAGCCAGTTATCTTTATTTTATAAATACCTACTTACCCATGCTAACACTTTATTTTATTTTATTTTATTTTCATACTATACAAAGGACTGAACACATTTTGAATAATAGAAGTCTTCACTGAAGTAAATATATCAAGACTATATAGTCATAAGATTTAAAAATATTTTGATGTATGTGCTGAAGATATATAATGTGATTACCAGTCATAAGATTATTTTCAAATTTAGCGGTTGAAATAACCAAAAAGCAAAATAAGTCATTGTTTCTATGTAACTCATTCCTAAACTTTCTAAGATAATTTTGTTCATTGAAATAATAAAATTTTCATCATTTTTTAAAAATGAATACTGGAATTTTTTTCAAAAACTTACAAGGATTAAGAATTTATGTACATGATTTTATTTTTAAGGAAAAAGAACGATTAAAACAAGAAAAACGTGATGAAAAAAGGTTAAATAAGGAACGTAAACTAGAGCAACGAAGATTAGAATTAGAAATGGCAAAGGAACTAAAGAAGCCTAATGAAGACATGTGCTTAGCAGATCAAAAGGTAATTTCTGTCACGTAAGCCATTGCTTTGACAAATGGCATTCTACCAGTTTTCCTACCAGATTCCTTTACCAGAACTACCATTCATTGAGAAAGACTTTAGTTTGTCTTGAGTGCAATAGATTTCTGAGTCTAGGTCAATTTTGCCTTTCTCACATAGTCAGCCAATCTTGTGTTGATGCAGATGGTTCTTCATATGTTGCTGGAGTATGGCAAGTCTTCATTTTAGTAGATACACTGTAGAAATCTACAGAGAAGATGTCATCTATTTTGGAGTAAAAAAATCTGCTTTATTTTGAATATAGCTAAGAACACAGTAATTATAGAAAATTGTATCATTAATGAATATCATATCTATAACTGTCCCATCCTGTGTTATTTTGCTCTATCCATGGCATCTATATTTATGTAATTGCATCATCTGTTATATAAATAGTGATTATCTTCTTGACTTCTTCAAGTTCCATTGCTACTGTGCTTTTAGTACCTTATTAGGAGTTGAGTTGTGTTAATATTCAATTTATGTTATTTAGCAGAGATGCTTTAAAGTGAAAGTGTGTATCTACTAGTTTTCTCCTTTGGATGTTAAAATTTTCCTAAACAGAGATTGAATTTTCTCTATGTTAGCCAGCACATTTAATAAGCTTAAAGTGAGCAAACTTTTAAAATTCTAAATGGACTTTATTTTCTTGCATCTTTTCTTTTCATATAATGCCATATGCACTGTCAAATATATGTCCATTTTAGTCATTCTTGTATGAGCTTTGTTTTAAAATTTTCTAGAATTTTATGGAAATGAGTGTGTCTGATATGGTTCAAGAGAGAGACTCAAAATTATGTGGTTTTCAAATGGAGTATACTCCCAGAATGTGTTCTATACAATATTGTTAAGAACGTCTTTAGTTACTTCAGTAAGTTCAGGGCAAAGGATCTATTCTGATAAAACAAGTATTTTTAATTCATTTCTTCGTTTCTAATTCAAGATCTGCCTCCCTCTGCCTCCCAAGTGCTGGGATTAAAGACACTGCCATGTTTGGCTATTTGCTGAATTTTTTAAATGTCTATAATAAACTGGTGCTACAACTTTTTTTTTTTTTTTTTTTTTTTTTTTTTTTTTTTTTAAAAAAAAAAAAAAAAAAAAAAAAAAAAAGAGGACGATAAATCTTTCACTGTGATCGAACTCACAAAGATCCATCTGCCTCTGCCTCCCAAGTGCTGGAATTAAAGGCGTGCGCCACCATGCCCAGCTTGGTCCTATAACTTAATCGCAAAAGTTTTAATAAGTGAGCATATGTGAAAAATGAAAATAGATTAAAACTCATGTTAATGTTTCACTAAACACAGAAAACCTAAAGTCCTGGAGTTACATTATTGACTGACATGTTCAGAGCCATAAGTTCTACTCTTATGGACTTAATAATTGATTATAGCCATTAGCTATATAGTTCATAGCCATTCTTTCCAACCAGAGTGCCCATATATACTAACATCTGTTTCTGAGCAACTGTTAAAAAGTGTGTGTTTTAAATATTTACATCATTAGAAGTATTCTGTGCACATGCTCTTATTAATTATGTAGTAGTAAAGGATTTTTTTATGCTTTGAAGAATTATTTTTTATCATTTTTTAAATTTTTAATAACTATATGATTAGAAGCAGCATTTCACTACAGCGTTAACATATTCAGTAACACACTCCAGGGCAAGAGTACATCTCTTTCACAAGTGGGTGCAAGTTTCTAGGTTCACAGTTGAATTAATACAGTTATACAATATTGAACTGAGTATAAGCCCTTTAAGACATAAAATTGAATGAGGTTTTAACCTTTAAAAAAGATCTCCATTTCATTTTAAAATATATTGTTCCTTGCAGAAAGACTCATTGTTTTTGCTACTAACACTGAGATGTTGGCACTTGCATCTCTAATCTGTATCGCACGTGTGTGTGTGTATATATCACACAGAACATCCCAAATCATCTTGTTCAACTATACACCCACTTCCCAGCTGGCACCTTCCCATAGCCTCCCTTCCCCCACTAGAGCCCTTATACTCTGATATCCCTGCTACTGTCTGCTGTCAGCACCCACTGCCATTCCCCACTACTTGCCCTTGTAGTGAATCTAGTCAGCCTATCTAGCGGTCTTTGTTTTAGGAAGGTCAGCTGTTCCTCATCTAGCAGCAATCAGTTGTCAATATTCCTTTAGATAAGATTGGGGTCTGCTGTTCATTTTCCCAGTTCTATGCTGGGTTACTACTGGGAGTCCCTTTGGCCACCCTGGCCAACAACTCAAAATAAGGTATTTCCTATCTGGCATTGTTGCTTGTTATATAGCCTTTAACTATGCATATGGACTCTTAAGAAATTATATTGGCCCCTTCAATCTTTAGTTATACTTTCCTTTTGGGTGTTTAATGCCATAGAGTTGGCCCAGATAAACCAATTTATTTTTACTCTTAAGGTCGTTTGAGGATCTGTTCCTCAGGGGTTGCATGGGCTTAGGAGGAGACCCTTTCTTTTACCAGTTCCACCTATGTGAAGATAAGTCAAAGGTCCTGCTCGATCATGGTTGGCTTTGCTTGGAAGCATGGAGGAAATGATCCCTCTGTGTTGACCCTCCTCTTTATAGACTGGACACTGGTTCAAGTCCATCTGGTGGACTCGGCCTCCTTGATCAAGAGGACAGGTAACCCACCACAATTACAGGACATTTTGAGAAATGCTCATAGTTACCTGGAACTCGTCGACCTAGGAGTGCAAGAAGCAAAAACTATCCTTTATGTCCCTCTGACCAAATTATTATAGGCCTCTAAGTATGTCTGTTAAACATCCAAGAAGGTTAGTTCCACCACTCTGGTACTATTAATCACTGTGTGTCATGTAGATAAATCGTGGGCAAAGACCAATTGTTCTCAGATAAACCTTACCTAGACATATATTTCTTGGTCTGCTATGTATAATTTGTCAGTAGGTTGTAGGAGTAATATGGTTCTCTCTGGTTTTCAAAACTAGCTAGGCATTGTTTATCTCTCACATTGTCTCACCCCTCCATCATGGTTTTCCCACTTAAGGTGCCCCCATTTCCCCCCTTTCTCCCTTAATAATACCCTTCTCCTATGGTCCTAACTCTCTTGAGCTCCTTCTTTCCCTTTATCCCCTAGGTTCCTTGTATACCCTTCCCCCCCTCCCTTAAACTAACCCAATTTTTATCCATATCTCCCTTATTAAGGCCTGTTTCCTATTGTTCTTCTCTTTCAGGTTCTTTCTTTTCCTTTACCTCCCTGTTTCCTTTCCATTATCCTAGTTCCTGTAGTTATGTCTGGATACATACTCACTTATCAGGGTTTGGTTCTAGGATCCACATATGAGGGAAAACAGGTCGATTTTTTTTCTGAGTCTGAGTTACTTCACTTAGTGTAACAGTTTCTAGTTCCATCCATTTACCTGCAAATTTCATGATTTCATCTTTCTTTACTACTGAGTAAAACTCTATCATATAAATGAACCACATTTTCATTATCCACTTGTCAATTGAGGGACACTTAGGTTGCTTCCATCTCTTAGCTATTGTGAAAAGAGCAGCAACAAACATGGATGTACAAGTGTCTCTGCAATAGGACGAGTTCTTT